ATAGGTGCGCACCCACTTATGATTTGGGCCACCAATAGCTGGCTCGCGAGCTATAAAGTCTTCTCACGTAGAGATGACCGCTTAAGCAGTATCATGTGCTCATAGAGGATCCGATACTTCACCCATTCTCATTATGAGTACTACGATACACGAGGTTAATCCCTCAGCATATCCGTGCGATAGCACATGATACATTATCGATGGAATATCCGGTGTAGCCTCACGCATGGCAATTGCCGACAATTCTATGTCCGAGTCTTTAAACTCATTGCTCCCAAGAGCACGTAGCAAAGCTACACACTGATCGTCCTTGGCATATGCCGCACGAAGATTAAGTCGAGGGACTGACTGACGACGACAGGGTCGTAACATGAGAACAGCTCATAGTCCGGGTCGACGCGATAGCGCACATCAGCCAAAGCGTTTTTTGCTTTACCCTGGCTTGTACTTCACCTCAAGGGTTATATTCGGCGAGAATAGCCAACGAGCCATTCTCTGTGAGAGATAGGCGACTTATGTCGCAGTGCGCAATGACGCATGATCCGGTATAGATCACAAATGGCTTCGAGCAGCAGATGGACTGAATTTGACAAGAGCGTACTTCATAGCAGTAGCTCTTTGTCATGAACAGGATGGTTCAGCTTTTCAGCAGCTTTCAGCTGTCGAGATTCAAATGCGATGACGCGTTCGCGTCCGTCGACATCTGTTTGCTAACAGAGCGCACCTATGGCAAAGTCAGATGCGTCTGGAAAGACGACACTGAAAGGCCGACCAGAATCGGGCAAAGCCCAGTGGCGCATGGAGGAGACTCTCTGTAACTGCTTCAAAAGCATTATGTTCGGTGTTACCCCAGCACCAGCCCATCCTTTTAAGGAGATTGGACAATGGCCGAGCCATATCTGCGTAATTTTGCACTATACTTGTAAGTAATTGGCAGGCCAAGCCATTTACGCAAGTCCTTTTGGTTCTTGGGGACTGGCCAATCGACTATGGCTTTTACCTTGGCGGGATCCGCTCAGAAGGCCTCGCTTCCCAATGAAGCACCCTAGAAAGGGAATTTCTTCTGCACCAAAGATGCACTTCGATGCGTTCGCATACAGCTTATTCGTTGCATGCACTCGAGAGAGCACAACTCGTAAATGATCAATGATTTATCCGCATCTGATCGCCCATTCGTGCACGACTATGGACAAAATGTCATCAAAAGTACGTTTATTGCATAGCCTCGATGAAGATGTGAATAGTTGCGTTACCCAACCGGTTAAGAAACGTAGCCGGGGCGTTAGACCCAGCCCTTGCGGCATAACGAGCCACTCCCAAAGCATACGCTCAGGCTGCACCACCGCTGTTGGCGGAATATCGCTTTGCTCGCATGAGCGGTTGGTAATAACCATCGACTAAGTCAGTGCACTGTACAGTGTACATCCCGCCATATTGTTCTGAAGAACATCCTTTCGAGGAATAGGCGTCTGCGCCGGTATAGTAGCTGCATTAAGCTTATTGTAAGCATGCACAATACGCCACTTGCCATTTGGCTTTTTTTTGACACAAATGTCGGTGTTGAGTGGGAGACTTGCTCTCACGAACCATCCCAGCGCGTGCTTGACACGAAAGAAATCGTCAATGACGTCGCACTGTTCTTTAGGCAAGAAGGCCACTGCCGTGTTACACAGTATTTAGTTCAGGAACCAAGTCAATCTCATGACGTACCTCTATCGGGAGGTAAGGCAGAAGGTGGGTGTGACACACCACATCTTGAAATTCCTTGACTAAAGGATAGAACGGATCCGACGGATCTTTAAGGATCGAAGATCCACTTCGTACACTAAGTGCCGCCTTTGTATCCTCTGGGACAGACTCATCCAGTAACGAGGAAGAGTTCAACTCCCAGTATCAGGTCTAATGACCGCTAACTCCGGATAACTCTCCTGCCTTCAAGGCCTGGCTAAACTCGCCATCGAACATTTCGTCTAGCTCACAAAGAGCGTACACAGGATGGAAGGGTTTCAAGGCAAACGCACCATCAACCCGACCAGTCACTCCATTAACAAGTGTATACAGTGTATTGATAATCTCACTATGTGACTGTGGGGACGCCTGGCGCTTTACAGCTGCTACTCGGCACGTCTCGATTGTCTCTTCGAGACCTTACTCCCCGCTTAGGGGTCGAGGGACAATATTGTCCCCCATGGTTACTACCAACCATAGTATGCTCGCCACGAGAGCTTTTTGTCTTGACCGACATTAGGTGTGAATTTGCCCTCACGGCCGCCCACGCCATACGCCCAGCGATCGCCAACAACGCCATTACCGGCGTTAAGCGTGGTGCCCTCACGGCCGTCCACATATACGGCGTATCGCCAACAATGTCATTACTGTCATTAGATGTGAAGAGTTGCCCTCACGGCCGCCCACACTATACGGCGTATCGCCAACAATGTCATTACTGACATTAGGTGTGGTGCCCTCACGGCCGCCCACACTATACACGGCGTATCGCCAACAATGTCATTACCGACATTCAGTGCGGTGCTCTCGGCCGGAAGCCGCACTCGGTGTAGTTTCACGTGCCACCATACACACATCAAAGGAATCACGTCCTTGATCACTCGGCCCTAGGCCAACCATGCTTTTTCAGCATGCAGTGACTCGTTATCACAACGAGTACCACTCAACGGGCGCATTGCCGTTTCACTAGTTTTAGACGAGCTAGGCTCGAAACTTATGTTTGTAACATGGGAGTTAGATAACTCGGACTTCCCAATATCCAGCACATTGACATCTTCTGTCAAAGGCTCGCGCCAATAGCGCTTTTGCCTAGCAAGGTGGGTTCATGACTCTCCAAAGCATAGCTAGGAACATTGCGCGTAGCGCTCCACAGGTCTTAGACCTCCAATCAATCCATGGCTCATGGCGCTCAAGAAGCCAAGCCATACCTAGGATGAGATCATATCTCGAGTCCAAATCTAGGACAAGACAGCGCTCAATACTGTCAAAGTCTAAAAACGTTATACCTAAGTTCAATGGAACTTTAGGCACCGTTACGCGACTTCCAGTCGCTAAACGAACGTGATAGGAGGAGAAATCACCCTCATGCGCTGTAAGCGCCTCAACATAACGCTGACTTCCCTCAAGGGAACGGCGTCGAGCATATTGCAAGACGCTCCAGAATCGATCAATATCGACCAAGGCTTCTCGAAGCCCCACTAATTTTCCTCGGCGACCAACAAGCCAGACTTGTATCCACGCACCATACCCGTAGGTATGGTACTCTTTGAGGCTAAGCCTGCATTCCTTTACCTCCTAAGGTGTAACAGAACATAGTTCTTCCCCATTAGGGCGCCCCGCGCCTACTGGGTGTCGGCATTTCCCCGTGCCATGCCAGACTTCTGACTCGGGGTCAGTGTTGGCTCGTAGTCTGGTGCTTACGCAAAGGGCAACCAGGCCGCAAGTGTTTAGTACTTCACACATAAGCATCAAAAATCTTACATGAACGTGTTGCTGCTCAGCAGCTCGAGAAGCTCAGCTTCACCTCCATCTTCATAGCTGAGATCCATCAGTTCAAACCTAATATAGAGCAGTGTACCCGAATGGTTGCTCTCACAGAGCGAGGATTGTATCCATTCCAGCCAAGTCTGGCCAGGCTTGAAATTATGCTCAGCATTAAGAGCAATTCTCACAGCCTCTTCCAAACGTAGAGTGTGAACCCGAAAAACCTCGGTTCTGGCAATGCCAGTACGTAGACCTTCCATGAAGATAGTCACATGGACTGCTTCAGGCAGAGGGTCAGACTGCATTGCAGCCATGAGCGTTCGCGGCTCTTGGACATAGTCCGATAATTCATTCTTACCCTGGCGGGTAGAAGAAAGCGTGAGCGCACGCGGTAAGCCTGGTTGGAGTGGAGAAAACACCTGCACCAATTGTGATTTGAGCGACTCCCATGTGGAAACGCTATGTCCACCGACGTGCTACACGCGTCAAGGCCCATTCTCTAGCTCTACCATCGAGCTTCGAGATATGCTTGAGACCTGTTGATGGTCAAGCGTGATCTGGAGCCTAGTCTCATGGCCATCTCGATCTCACGGATCAGAGGATGAGATTCTCACCCTCCCCTTGCCGGAGTAGTTTTTACGTCCACTTTAAGTGGACGAGGCTTTACCTCTTCGTCACGGAAGTACAGACACGAAGCGTGTAGGCATAGCCGACGCTATTTGGTCTTGGACCTGCCCTAAAGGTCGCTTCATACTGCATGAAGCCGTCAACGTGCATTAAGCACTTCCAGGACGCCCAATGAGGAAACAAGAAACTCCACGTACTCTGGACCCAAAGATGCGGTCAGCTTGTCAAGCGCGACCTTTTTGGGCCTCAGATAGGGAGTGATGCTTTCCATCCTCACAGAGGATCAGTCTTAAAAGACTCCGGGCGTAGATTGACTGGTGCTACCAAGTGTGGCGGGCTACACAGCTCCTTAAGTCAGAGGAGACTTAACGCTCTACGAGCAACTTGGTTTCCAAAGAACTAACGACTTTCTGAGTCAGCAAGCTTTACAGCTTCAGATCCCTGTTCCAGGGGGACCACAGGCGATTCAGTGAATCGACAGCACTTAGTGCTCAAGAGTAGCTACCTCAGGAGGTGTTGCTAACTCTTAGTGATCAGAGATCAACGATCAAGACGGCTCGCAAGCCACGCGTCTTTCAGATCAAAATGGGAACTGATTTTATTTAATGTTAAAGCCTATAGAATATCTTAATCCCTACTCAAAAGATCTTTCGTATCTAATGGCCAGTACTTGTCAGCCCCCTACAAACCGATAAGATATTCTATATCACTCACAGAAGCGAACCCTCAGGTGTGTAACACCTCTGGTACAAAGAAGTACCTTAGTTTCGTGCAACCCCGTTACAAGCAGCTAGCATGCGATGCAAGGCTTAAAGAAGAAGCCAGAAGGATCAACTTAGACCGAGCAAACGCGGGTCGCACGTAGTAGCATGCGCAGCACAATGTGGCAGACGTCGAGCATCGCGTGCGTAAAGCGGAAGAGCAAGGATACATAATCGCGACACGCGAAGCAGCGGCTCGCGAAGAAATTTCACGCAATGCGACAAATTGCGCAGACTCTCTGTAAGGCAGCACGACCGCAAGCGGAACGATTTCGTCATTCACGCGCTCGAGATCACGCCGTCAGCGCAATCATACAAGGATAGCGAGAAACGGGCGCTTCGTTCATCAAGAGCCGCCGTAACTGCAGCGGCCGCCACGACGCCACACTTGGACATCAGAACGTGCAACATGTACAACAATGTCGGCCACATCGCGCACGTGTGTCTTAGTAAAGCGAAGAACGTCCGCCACAAAGAGACGCCTCGATGGGCGCTCGCTGGACTCATTGCAGTTTGTCTGACGGAGGAGGACTAAATTGACCACTCCGGTGCCAGCCCCCACCTTGTCAAGCACAGCAGCTTGCTGTGTAACTGAGAGGAGTACGACGACCCAAACGGGTAACGCTTCCTTACAAAAGCACACTGTGAGTGACGCGACGCAGAAAAGCGCGGTTGCAAGTGACGGTGGGAGACGAGACGTACCGGATCGATCTTTGAAACTTCATCTACGTGCTAGGGATGGCCACCAGTCTCATCGCACTCGGCAAGCCCATGCTACAATGCTGCCGTCTCGCCGAAAAGAACAACAGACACGCAGTGATAATCAACAACGACGTTGTGATGTACGTCCAGATCAAGCAGAACGCTCTTGTCGTTGACCGTGGGGTCGCGAAGCAACGATCAAGAGGATTGAAGGACGTGATCATGTGCGCGATCGGTGAGTCGCAGTCACCAGAGACAACCGTGCAAAAAGGGAGCCACATGAGCTTTCACCGGCGCTTCAGGCAACTGAACTACAACGACGTGAAGCGACTTACCGCGAACCCGGTAAATCGACTCCAACTCACTGACAAAGTCCGGCAGTACTGCCTGAAATGGGCTGAGGGCAAGCATTCCAAGTCAGCACGGCCTTAGAAGGACATTGGCCTCAACACGACGATCGACGTTGTCGGGGGATCATTTTCAGCGACCTCAAAGACCCCATTACGCCCATTAAAAAATATTTCTAATCTCATCGACCACATATTTAACTACATGTGTGCATTCGTGGCGAGGCCCATGGAAGAAGCCGCGAAGAAGTTCCAATATTTCACGGCCCCTGTTTTAAAGACAGTTCAGCGTACGATTCCACGTGTTGCGGAGAGACGGAAGAGGCGAGTACCGCAACCTCGACCTCTCCTGTCAGCAGACGGGCGTCGGCAGGCAAATTACTGAGCGCAACACGTCAGCCTCAAACGGAAAGGCTGAAAGAATGCACCGGACTATCATGAATATGATTATACGCAGCTCTTCGGTTGAGGCCTGCCTCTCGGCTGCTGGGGATGCTCCGCGGAATACGTGGCTTATGTGTTGAATCGGATGCAGATTCACGCCAACACAAGCCGAATCTTAGCCTTGGAAATTATTACGAAGAAGGAAATGAGGGTAGTGGACGTGGTGTAATTCGATGCTCCTTGAAAGGTGTAACAGAGCCCGACAAATGCCTCGCTGAGCAATTAAGGAGCGCCGGGTATCATTATCGGCAATAACGAAGAAACCAAGGGGTACAAGGTGCGAATTCATGGTAAGCAGGTCGTAATGACTACCCGCTTAGTAAATCAAAACATAACGCTAACTGATAAAGCTAACAAGCAGCTGAGACAAGCGCTCGAGTCAGAAGCTGACGACGCAAACGAGCAACTTGCAGATGGATGAGAAGTAAGTAGACGACGTGAGGATTCAAGCGGCGAGAGCTCAGCAGACCAAGCCGCCGCAAAGGCCACGTCGAGATTAATGGCGCCGACCCAAGCGCAGAATTAAACACGGGCGAAAGGTGGAACGAATTTAAAGTCCAAATCAAAGGCAAAATGCGAAGGGAAGGCTTCGCCAGACACGGACGAAGAGGAAAGAGTATTAGATGAAGAGGAAGAACTCTGCCCCGCGAATGTCGGGGTGAGCGAGAACGAAATCGGCTATGCACAAAGCAGATGACGCGTCAAGATACAGTAAGACCTGAACGTAGGGAGCCTGTGGTCGCGGCAGTGCTGTATTGGTCAGTGCTGATGTCCGCCTTGGGGGCGGAGAAAAAGCAGTGCACGAAACTTCCCGACCAGAAGACGTACAAGGCGACGCGCTTACAACCAGACGCGCACCTCTAGGCTCATGCGATGGATGAAGAGATCGCCTTGATAAAGTTATACAATACGTGAGAACTAGTCAAGCGTGAGAAGCACATGCTTGTGCTTCACAACAAGTAGGCCCTAAAAAGTAGATGAACGGCATTGACTTAAATAAAAAATAAAAGGCGAGGCTTGCAGCGGGGGGGGGGGCGACGATAAAGTGCTTAAAGGGACTGCAATCAGACATTTTCAGCTGTCCTGAATGTGCACAGCGGCTTGATTATTCTTGCGGCCACCCGGCTTTGAAAAGTACGAGCGTCAAATTTTACGTCTCAAGCGCCTACCTGAATGTGTTTTAGGAGGGGGAGATCAAGATCTACATGCGCGTTCCCACAGACATGACGATCTCAAACGACCAAATGCGTAGACCCAACGCGGCTGACTCTGGGGGGACCTGCCTACGACTGATCAAAATTCAATTCGGTCTCCACTAGTCAGGGCGCCTGTGAAACCAACTAATCGATTAAACGCTGGATGACGCAGCATCTAAACTTTTAGCCACAGACGCATGAGTATACGTGAAGACCACCAGCGAAGGCAAGATAGTTGTGGGAGTGTATGTTGATGACCTACTCTCCGCTACTACAAGTGACACGCTACTCTACACTTTCGGCGCAGCAATGCAGAGTCTGTGACTGAAGTTTCTCGGTAGCGTCTAGAACTTCCTAGGCATGCGCGTTGTAAATTCTGTGGCTGAAGTTTCTCGGTAGTGTCTAGAACTTCCTAGACATGCGCGTTGAGTAATTGACTCGCACAGATACATTATAAACCAAGCGCAATTGATCACGGATGTTCTGCACAAAAAAACGGCTTTAGAAGGAGAACACGGCGCGGTCACTGGTCGTCGAAGAAGCTTCGGTCAAGTCAGAAACCACCTGCGCACTGGCGCATCCAATTAGCGGTGCAGGTACTGCAGAGCGATTGACGATAAGAGCTTTCAGAGCCTCTTTGCAAGCCTCCTGTAGACTGCAAGATGCAGCCGACCCGACTTCGCGTGTGCGATAAACGCGCGACGCGCCGCAGCCACGCACCAAGCAACTACGACGTAAAGCTCTTGCGACGAGTGCTGAGATACATCGCTGACACGGCTGCGCTAAAAACTTTGCATGGGCGGAGCATCGAGCGGTAACAAAGTGCAGCTCACCAGCTACACCAACGCGGATTACGCGGCCGACAAGGCCACGCGAAAGTTGATCAGCGGTGCAGTGCTGCGCGTCGGCGGGATGCCTGTTAGGTGGTTGGTCAAGCAATAGTCAGCAGTCGCACTCTCCCCTGCGGAGGCCGATTTCGTCGCAGCGGCTATGGGCGCGAACTAGCTTCTGGGTGTTAAGAACCTACTGCAAGAGATAAATATGAGAGTGAAGCTGCCGATGCAAACAATGGTGGACAACTAAGCGGCGATAAAGCAGATCGACAACGAAGCCACGTCGAGCGTACAGAATCCTGTTGACGTAAAGACAGAGTTTGTAGATGACACGACCTCCAAGGACATCGTGAAGCCCGAGTGCATCGCGACCAACGAGATGATCTGAGATCTACCAACGAAGAGTGTCCCGGAGCCGATGTTCGCTGAGATACGCGGATTAAGGTAAGTAAGGTGCCACGGGAAAAGTGTTGTAAGTAAAGACACGGCACCTGACGAGAAGGTTGGAGAAATTTTGCGGGAGAGAGACAGCGGATACAGGCGTGCAGTCTTGAAAGCTCTTAGGATAGAAAAGAGTGACCGTAAGCAGCGTATCGTAAATTTTTAAGAGTATATCGGTGAGGATTTCAACTACACAATACAGCCGTTTGGAAAATGACATCGTCCAAACACTAGATCTCTTATTGCACGAGGATTCAAGGCCATCAGTAGCGTCAGGATCAGACCTAAATCAGTGCTTAAGGGAATTAAGCTAAACTATCGTACCAAAAGACCTGCTGATATCATTTGCAATCTATGCGCACAAATTTTGTAAAGCATTTGATCATGACAAAGTACAGCCTACTTGTGTACTCTTCCACATGAGCATACTTCAAAAATCCAGTCCTAATGAACGTTCTTCATGTGTTTACAATGTTTATTTCCAGCATTCTGACTACCTAAGTGTGCCAACCTGACTTGTATTCGGTGAGGCCAATGCATTTTGAAGCATATTACAGCACCTTTGCCTCAAATAAGTCATTGACCGGTTTAAGAAGCACACACAAGATTCGAATTGTTGCTGTGTTGCACCAGCAATTGTGTCATGAATTTCGGGTAGTGCTTCGTAAACGCTTCTTCAACTTGTTCCCACTTGCCGATGGGAGCACCGCAGTGCACATATTGCGAGCGAGCTAGGTCCCGGTCGCACAAACTCGACGAGCACGTGATACTAGAAGCCCGCTAAAAAAATACCGTTCAAAAGCAGCGCTGGCAGTAGGTAAGATCTCGCTGTTGGGGTAGAAAGTACTCTAAAACGATTCCATGTCTTACAGAATGGGGTGGGCCAGTTACATGTAATTGTCTCTTGAAACTTGTTATTTAGAACATTATCTATAGGTTGACAATGTTCGTGAAGATTACCATAAAGGGTAATACTCATAAACACTCACCGATTGAATGGTAGGGGTCATCATATCCTGCAGCTCTAGCGGTCCAATCAACGATAAACGCGCGAACTGAGTTACTTAAGCATGCCTTTTTATAGCTGGAATAATTAAGTTAGGACTAAAACATAGAGTAATGATTAGGACTTGATTGTGTGTAGACATTTTTACTTTTACCAGCAACTAGTCAATTCCTATTTGCATTCCCTTCCTCTTCCGAGTCTACAGAGGTAGCTAAGAACCGCTCACGATGCTGTCGGTGATAGTAGCTCCACACTGGTTGTTTAGTGTGTTGCTCCGGTGCCCCGTTACATCTGGTAGCACTTTTGTAGTCCGTCCAAGGGCCACAAAACCCATTCAACACGAACATGTTGGACGATGAAAGCGACGACACCTTTCATGGTACCCGTGGAAGTCACTTCTATTCGAGTGATGTCGAATGAATGAGTTAGCCCGTTGACGAAGAAGCTGTCTGGTCTCTGCTGCCAACAAGGGATAGGGACCAGTAGCATTTCGTAATCGACAATTTCTTGCAACAGGAGCTTGATGCGTCGCGATCTGAAGTGACTTTGCTGCATTAACAAGGTCACCAGTAGACTGATATCCTGAGACAGCAACAGTCTCAGTATGCTTCTGCAGCGTCGACACGTGAGCGTCGACGCGAGATTCTTGAGTTTGAGGTCTCCAAGTACCTAAGAGTTGAGGAAGACTTCCTGTTGAGATGGTTCTTCGAAGTGGACGATGCCATCAGGGCTCACCACATCGACGATGAGGAAATGCAAGTTGCATTTGCCAAATTCAATTTGTCAGGACGTTCCTCAAGAAATTGCAACTGCGGTGCAAGAGGACTTTGATGTAAGAAAAGACCACACTATCTTGACCGCTATTTTCCTTCAAGACGAGTAGAGGCGGAAGGACTAGAACCAATGTGACTATGAAGTGTTAAGCGCGAGAGACCTCGCTCTTCAAACTGTAGGCAATTGAAAAAGTGCAATCTCTGTCAGAAGTTAGAGCGCTGCGTCTACTAGTGTAGTGCTTCGCGCCCAGCTTCTCGAAACACTGAGCGAGGTGATCGACTGTCTGCAATAAGAGCAGTGGGCACGAGTTCGATGCTGTTGCGAAGTCACAACAGCGTGCCAGGCCATCACAAACGGTCGGGGTCAGCAGGGGCGGATCGTCCTGCTAATC